CGGATGCCCCAAGCAATCAGAAAGGGGATTCATCAGAGAAAATAACTTTACCCCAGTCCTCAGCAGTCCAATCCCTGTGACTTTTACAGAATATCAGTCTGTCCCTGATGTTTTTCTTGGAGAAGAGTGGCTTCTTTGCTGCCCTTCTTGACACCAGGCCAAAAAAGGCTTCACCTCACTGTGCATGCACATGCACTCACACCTGCCTGCTGCCATTCCTGAGCAAGCTCTGCACTGGTTGTGCTCCGATCATGCAGCTGAATCAACACTCCTGGTGCTTGCTGAACTTTCTTGAGCGTCCTGAAGCCTTCTTCAACAATTGAACCTCTCTCCTTGAAGTTCTTGACGATCAGATCAATGGTTGATCTTACTAGCAGCAATATCCTTGCCTGTGAAGCCCTTTTTGTGCAAAGCAATGATGACTGCACATGTTTCCTTGCAAGTAACCACAGTTAACAAAGGAAGAACAATGATTTCAAGCACCACCCTCCTTTTAAAGCATCCAGTCTGCTATTCTAACTCAATCAGCATGATACAGTGATCTCCAGCCTTGTCCTCCTCAACACTCTCACCTGTGTTAATGAGGGAATCACTGAAATGATGTCAGCAGGTCTTTTTGTGGCAGGGCTGAAATGCAGTGGAAATGGGTTTTTTGGGATTAAGTTCATTTTCATGACAAAGAGGGACTTTGCAATTCATTGCAATTCATCTGATCACTCTTCATAACATTCTGGAGTATATGCAAATTGCCATCATAAAAACTGAGGCAGCCGACTTTGTGAAAATTAATATTTGTGTCATTCTCAAAACTTTTGGCCATGATTGTAGAATGACCCTGTTATTGACCGAGCTGCCACCCACTTATACGTATGCGTGTGCATGTGACTTGGAAAGTCGAGGTGCACACCGGAAAAATGGGACTCCCAGAAAGCCACTGTGTATTTCGAACCCCGGGTGAGATCCATCTGTATGCTACTCAGGTCTTAATTTAGAAGATATTTATATTCATACTTTCAAGATATTAATCACTGGGTGTCTGTCACTGAACATTGTGTGAAATATATTGACAGAAAAAGAAGTGTCATCAGTAGCAGAGCCAGCACTGGTCGCCTCAGACACCAAAGGATGAGTGCTCTATCTGCATCGTGTTCATTTTAGTGTGCAACCTCCATTTTCAGTTATTTATTTAATACTAGTTGTCTAGTTGGAGTTTCCAACCAGGCCAGACTGAGAGACAAACAGGCATCTTTCCGAGGCACCGCTGAGGACCTGTTTGAACTTTCGCCCACATTGACAGTCAATACGTGGGGGTTAAAGGCAGCTGCCTGGCAGACAGAGCACTCTGTCCCTTTAAGAATTCCCAGCAGGCCTCTGACCCCAGAGGGCCATGCCGTGTTTATTAGCCGGACTGCCTTCTCCTGGCAGCACATGAAAACGGTCTGGCGCCAAATGAAAGAAAAGACGCGAAGAGGCAGGGACAAGAGTTGGGGATCTGCTGTGGCTTATTTACCCCGCAGGGACGAAAACAAACAGGCCGGGATCACGCAGAAGGGGGTTGCGGACGCACGCAGTCATCAAGGGCCTCGTCACATTCTCTCAGAAAACAACACGAATGCAGCTATTTGCACAGTACCCGGAGGTTATTACCAACCATCCAGAACAATTAATGCCTTTGTGCTGAAGTGTCACCAATGCATGACTAAAGCGACATCAAAGCTTCCCTCTTCATTCCGGAAACTAAGAAGGCTGCTCATGGCTGGAGGCAGTGCCTGCCCCCTCTCCCCCATCAAGGGGGGGGGGGATCCGCTTTGGTCGTCCACTATACAGCTGTAATGGTTCCAGCACCTCGGCCTATCCCAGGTGACCCCGGGCCAGCTGGCGTGTTTGAGAAGCAGGTTGATTAGCTGCAGCCCGTGCTTGAAGGGTGTCACACACGGCGGTCATTAGCTAGGTGCTTAATGGCCCACCCACTCCCATAATCCCATGGGGCATCATAGCCAAGGGCCCCAGTGAAGCATCCACGGGCCTGCAGTTTGATGGACCAAGCAGCAGAAGACAAATGTTTTTAAAGGACAACATCTACTAGGTTGGACATCAAAATTCAATGTTAGAATTAGCGGTGGTATTCATGCTTACATTTGCAAATCACTTTTTTGTTAGTTCTGCATTAATGAATAGACCCACAGTAAACTACTTCGTTGTCTTGCTATAGCTGCAATTTAGCCGTTAGCCCATTATCTTAGCGTCACCGGGTACAGTGCTGCTGACAGAGCACTTGCATTGTAACAGACACAATTAAACTTAGTGTTAGAAAGACAGTACAGGACAGCTTGGAGTGCAAAGCACAGAAGAGAAGATTATTGGTTCCACATTTCTGTATGAGGTCCCACAGAGTGACCCTTCTAAGAAGGATCCTATTATTTTTTTCCTTTAAAGTGAAACATTTTTTTTTGTTTGGCATGATTTGTAATGTCCACCTCTGAGAGAAGCCGATTTCCGGAAGGAAATGATCCGCTGTGAGGGAGGACACTGAGGCCCTAATTAGTTATATAAAGTTATAATGTAGGGGTGACACAAAAATACCAGCCGCACTGCAAACATTATTTTTTGTAAAATCTTTATTCACTTGGGAAAATTGTACATTTGGCTAATTTAACCCCTCCCCCTCCCCTGTAATTATGCAAAGTGGAAACCTTTGGAATAGGATACAATTGCCCTCTTTATACAATATATAATATTCATTCGGAATCACTTTAAGAACTGGAAATGGACCACAAACACAAACCAGCCAAACCCTAGACCAAGGAGATGGGCACCTACCAGGCACCGTGGCTGAACACCATCCCTCGGTGCAACTTTTTTTTTTTACTGCACTCTTTTGTTACTCAAACCCTCCTCAGGCAGTATGTGATTTTCTGCAATGCTTCTGCAAACACAAATAGGACACTTCATTGAACATTTTCCCCTCATGTACAAATATAGACAATTTTTAGACCAGTAATTTGAACTCAGATCACCATATTGGAAACCAAATAACACACAGGTCCCTTTAATTTTAGCTTGCAATCCCTGAGATCCTTATGTTTGAAATTGAATTCTGAGTAATAAAAGACAAGGCCAGCTACTGATGGGCCACAAAATACTTAAAAACCATTTGAAGTAGGAGCTGCAGCTACACAGAACTGGAAGGTGCCACGAAGAAACCAAACTAGCTCTGATATCAGAACCCTTTACTCCAGCCTACCACACATCTGATCTACCCAGAAGCCATTGACCTGGATGTGTTTGAACTCCTGGAAAAGCCCTTGCTCCAAGATGGGCAAAGGCAGAGACAAGCCAACGAGGCCAGCAAGCATGTTCAGATGTGCATAATTTGTTATGAAGCAGATCCCTTTATCGGCACTGGATGCTGACCAAGCCTGCAGGGGTCAGGCACCTTGCCTGAGAACACTTCCACCATTCACCTTGTAGGATTTGAACTTAAACCCAAGGCTTCCAAAGCAGCTGCTTGGTGACAGAGTGATAAACTTTTTCTGGTCTTCTGTCATCTACCGTGAACCCTGTATTTACTCATCTCATTCTCAGAATTCATCCAAGCTGCTGTGATGACCAAGAGGGCATCTTAAAGTAAAAAAAAAACACAGACAGAGGACAGGATGGCAGGTGTGCAGCATCTGTACCGGCCTGATTATAAAAGCCATCACTGCTCCTCTATGTAAACACAGCAGGCCTGCTCACCGCTCACCAAATGCACGCCCAAGGCTACGACCTTTTAGCTGGACACCAGTCATGTTGATGGGTCACTCTGAACTCTTATCATTGCAATGGCAGTTTCTGCACTAGCTGGCCCTCGATGGCTGTAAAATAGCAGTCATGACGCAAAGATCGAATGTCCCCAAATCCTGTCATGTTCACAGAGGGCCAGTAATGAGGGAGATGGAAGAGAGACACCACCCGACAGCATCTGTGACAGGCTGAAAAACTTTTACAGATGGGTTTGTGGAACATGGCAAAACATAAGCTTCCTCTATATAAAGCTACCCACTTTACAAAGGGCAGCTAACCGGCCGACAGGGAGGTCGGAGCAAAAACTCAGACACAACCAACCTGGCAGCGGCAAGGTCTGACGGCAGACTGAGCTGAGAGCTGGCACTCCTCGTGACCTGCCTGGCTTCGGTGACTGTCTGGGACTCACTGCCAAAACATGCAGCCAATGAAAGCAGTAGAATGATGAGCATAGCGCCCCCCTGGAGCTCGGGTTCAAACTGCAGGCCTACATTAACCATGTAAACCATCTTTTTGGCCAGTCTCATTTAACATGGCTGATGTGTATGAATGTCTGAAACACTGGGAAAGAAACAAACCAATATCATACTATGCTGCTATAAATCACTGCCACCAATTTAATATTTTGATATAGACCTGTTAAAAAATTCATATTGCCAGACATGTTTTTGCACACCCTGAAGCAGAAGTAGACCCCATTCACTCACATTTAAGGCCACAGTGTAGATTCTTGAAATATAGATTTGCTTTGTTAATTTGCTGAAATCAAGACCTAGGATGAATCCTGCCATACAAAAATATCTTAGTATCTGAACATAAAATTATTTACATTTTGTACTCCCCTCTGGAGTTAACGGAGGGGTCCTTCAGTTGGTGAGGTGATTAGCGAGTATAAGAAACCCTTCACTCACTGGTCACCGCCCACTGGTGTGCTCCTAGCCAATGAGGAGCCAGTGAAGGGTCTAGTATTGCATAGTTTAACACTTTTAGCCAACTGCAGTGACATTATTCTGGAAAAAAATGTGATATAAAAAATAAAAATAACAATGGAACTAGACCTTAAGTGGTCAGATGACAAGAAACAACATACAAATGGCACAACGGCATAAAAAAAAGTGAGGTTGTGAAGTCTGGCTCCAGTGCTTTGGGAGGGTGGGGCTTGCCGGTGTGACAGTGCAATGTCAGGCCCCGCCCTCTTTGTGATCACACCCCCATCAGAGCTCCTCCTTCCGCTTGGTCACCTTGTCTTGGTCGTGTCCCCGCAGGCTTCGCATGAAGCCAGTGAATCCTGCCTCCTAAGGAGGGAAAATCCTATTAGAGTGACTCTTTGGGTGGGTTGGTTAGCTTGGTCAGCTATAGGTCAGGTCACCATGCAGCAGTTTAATCTCAGGCTGGCCTAGAAGAGCCACTGTGAAGTTCACAGCACACGGATAACATCCCAGCCATCAGTATGTGCAGAGAACAGTGTTGCGTTCAAACACACATGAAACATTATGTGAAACTGGCAAGTTGATGGGAAAAAAGTGATGGGGTTAGCATGGACCGTTACTGCAAAGCAGCTTACTGTGGTGCCTAAAGGTCTACAGAGGAGGTCCATTTTCAGCAGTACAGTCATGCTTGTTTAGCTAGAGCACCTCAGGGTGACCCTGTTGGACCACCACTCAAAGTTGGCGGTCAGTGACTTTGAACCCTCCAGTTTCAGTCCATTGTAGCACCCCCACTTGGAGGCCCCCTGCCACATCCCGCTTCCCTCGGACCTTAGGGTAGCACACTCGCCACCT